GCCTTTATATACTTTTAAAATAATTTATGTTAGAAATAATCAATCTAGACATCAGGTTTAGAAAACTAAGCTCAAATGCTAAAAACAAGATTTTTTAATTTTATTAATACATGAGGCGTTTGTTCTGTTTTAGTTCGGAAAATAGCCTTACCTAGAGCATTACAAGAAGAATATTTAAAAACGCTACAATCCTACGGATCAAACATGTTTGTTAATTTTATTTTAGCTTCTTAAACCATAATGTAGTCATTTAAACAGTGTATAAACTAAAAAAGTTGAAATTCAAATATATAAAGTATGCATTGTGTTTTTATTTTTGCAAAATCCAAAATTTAACTATTTTAGAATTAAACATTTATTTCATGAAAGTGGTGAACATTTTGCTTTTGTGCATTCCAGCTTTTACTGAAACTGTTTAGATGGCGGCTGCCCTAGATTTGTCTCATTGTTGAAGCAAGATTTTAGTACATTGTTATCAGCGCAGTTTAACCATTTCAACGTGTTGTTTAGTTCCATCAACTCTGTTAATCAGAAAGGAAACAGGTACTATAACTTATTGTGTTAGATGTGCGTGTTTTATTAGTATTAAATGCGTTTTTAGTAATGACGAACATAACGACCATTGGACGACACTACACGCATGGCGTATAGTAGGACTAATTAACGAAGTTAACCGAAAAGAACTATTTATTATAATATAAAGCAGGAAGAAGTTCAAAGCTATAATATTAATAGAGTGACGTCCAGTTTTAATAAAAAAATTATTTTTGGTCAGGATGGATTTTAATTATCAAAATATTGTATAATTTTAGCCAAACCCATGTCTAAACCCCCCAAACAAGTTTAGTAATTTAAATTAATTTACATTTACCGATGGAAAGGCATAAGCGTCATTTTCGCTTTCACTTTCAAACTCAACCAGAGGCGCACAGAAATATCGTACCGAGTGACCGACTGTGCACTGTAAATGGTGTGTCTTTATTTTATAAAATATATATTGTTTACACATCGATGTTGATGGCTTAGTAGATTATTTGATTATTTTATTTTAATATTATTTTAGAAAATTAAAATAATAAAGACTGTTTACCATACCATATCCATAAAGTTTTTCTATGCAAGAGTTGTGGGCACTGAGACTGAAAAACCACATTATAATCATAATAATCATAAAATGCTCTTGTTGGCTGTATAGTACTGTATACTGTATGTTCAGTTTTTTTACTTTAAAATTATACTTTGTTTAAAGTTTATATATATATATATATATATATATAATTATATATATATATTTCAGAAATCAGTATATCTTAAAATTTAGTTTATATTATAATAAGGGGGGTTGTGTGTTTATTTAGTTTATTCCATTAAAGTATAGGCAGGTGAGTAAAGTTTAAAAATTTGTTGTGTGTATAAACAAATTGCAGTGAAAACCTTCAACTTTTTGCTGTTATATATAATGAAGTGTAAGTACAGTTGAAACCCTTATTCAGTGTACAATTGCGGATATGGGTTTTTTCTACAGTGAAGAGTTCATGTCTTGGCAGGAACTGGTCAATACATTAACTCATTAATCTGTCTTTTGTGAAAAGCCCTAGTCATATTTTGTGTTTATTCATTTGACTCCTGGTTGGTTTTGGTATTTATCAGTTTGTTACTTTTAGTAGCATATCAGGCACTCTTACGAATACCGGTCCCAGATTATTCACTATTTAAAAACAAATCTCTGCTTTCCTCTGAATACCGGTCCTAAATTATCGAGGCCAAAAATATACCCTAACAGGGCCTCAGTCATGTGTCAATGCGAACTTCTGGGGACTATACAGCCACCGCAGCGTGGATTAGGGCTAAACTAGATGGCTGGGACTCACAAGCAAATAGAATGAAGGAATCTGCAGGAGATGCGGTAGTTGCTGCTCATGAGTCCCAGCCATCTAGGATACTGTCGATGGTGGCGGACGTGCACAGTTTATGTCGCAGGAAGTGACACATGACTGAGGCCCTGTTAGGGTATATTTTAGACCTCAATAATTTGGGGCTGTTATTTTGAGGATAGCCCAAATCTCATCAGGGCCTCAAGTTGAACCTGTCAAGTCTTTGGCAGTACCGTTACAGTTGTAAGTATTTCGTTGTTCACGGGGCTGACTGGTGTTCGATTCCCTGCAGGGTGATAATTATATAATCCCTTAAAAGGTCTGTTGGAACGTTGTGTTGTGGTTTACAGCTAGGCTGCAATATCTGCGCATTTCACCCAGTCTTGTGGTTTACAGGTAGGCTGCAAAAGCAGCGGCAAGATGTTAAAAAGGGTCAGTAATCTTTTTGTTTTGTGTTCGCCCTTGACACGTTGTGTTGTGGTTCACAGCTAGGCTGCAGTAGCGATGGCTAGATGTTTAGTTCTTATGTAACGGGTAGGTAATCTTCTTTTCATTCATCCTCAAAAGGGCGGTTGGCATGTTCTGTTGTGGTTTACAGCTAGGCTGCAATATCTGCACCTTTTGCCCAACAAACAAAGTACTAATTAGTTGCAGGCTCTTCTCCGAATAACAGTCACAAATTACCTAGGGCCGAAAATATACCCCACCAGGGTCTCGGTCACATGTAAATTGCAGACTTCCGGCGACTTAAATTGCAGACTTCCGGCGACTATGCCACCAAGAGTATCTAAACTAGATGGCTGGGGTTCACGAGCAGCAGCTACCGCATCTCCTGCAGCTTCCTTCATTTTATTTGCTTGTGAGTCCCAGCTATCTAGTTTAGCGGCGCGTGAGATAATATTGGCAGTGGCGGTAGTCGCTGGAAGACCGCAATTTACATGTGGCTGAAGCCCTTGTAGGTTTTTTTCGGCCTTGATAATTTAGGATCGTTATTCAAAGGATAGCCTAGTTGCCTTTTACAACATGCTTTTTAGGTAACAGTGGATCTATTCTATTTTCCTCAAAATGTGGCCTTGACCCACAAGGGGAGTCATGGGTAATTGAACAATGGATCAAAAACTTGTCCACCCCAGGTCACTTTAATGGAACAAAAACTACTACTTCCCACCGTGCATAAAGTATGGATCAGAATCTATTTCCTCCAGAGTGGCTTCAATGGAACGAAAACCATTCCTTTCCACAGCGCTTAGCTTAGCATCTGTCCATGGAGCAATTAACGGCAGAAGTTGAAGCTGATGATGATAGCCTAAATGTTTTTACTGCATAACCTTTTGAGGCTCTCAGAGGGATGTTTTTCGCAGTGAATAATTTAGGGCAGATATTCGGAAGAGTGCCGCATATCATACATTAATAATTTAGTTAACAGTGAATGTATATAAAGTGATTAAATTGATGTTTACGTTGTCAGATTTTTAGATTTGTTAGTTCTGTGCCAGTTTGTATGCCTCGATTGTGAGTGGGCCTCAAGATTGTGTTGGCTGTGTTTGTATATACACAGACGAGACAGCTCTCACAGGGTGACTCAAATATTCTAGTGAATATTTTCTGAAACTCATGCTTAGACCTATGGCGACCGGTCTGACAGACGAGCATCTTAGCCACTGAGCTGCAGCCACTTCTCAGATTTGTTTATCAGCTGTTTCACATATCACTTAGCATGATAAGAACATCTAAAGAATTGGCAGTAATTTGAATTTTTAGCAAGAAATTCAGCCTGGAACAACAATAGCATAAGAATTCTTATAATTTTTTTTTAAGCTTTCACAGGGTGTACAGTCCGCCAGAAAGTTATGATAGTTTGTCTGCTTTTGGACTTTGGTCCTGGTCCAGAAAATTAAATTGAATGCACATCTATTTTATATACCTGACCTTTTGTGTGCATACTGTTGGTTTTTTACCTCTCAGAGAGATGCAACTCTAACTTTGAGGAAAACACCCCTAGTCAGTCAGTTATACAACATATTTCGAACAGCAACTCTAGGGAATGAAATCTATTGTTTACAGCAAATTAAGTCCCCTAGAGTTGCCGTTTTAAGTATTGACATTGCACACAGTAATTGTGGGTAATAGATGCAAATAGGAAATTATGTTGTCAAAGTGGAGCAGGCCGTGACCTGTTTTACAGTTACTTGTCTCTTTTTTAGTGTTGGTTTAGTCACAGGGAGCACTTTTTTTTTTTGGACAGAACCTGAATTTATTGATGATACTTATAAAATATAGCAGTGTACGTCCTCTGTTTGGAAACCGTAGGGGCCGCATTCCATTGTTTGTTGACTTTTTCATACTAGTGATCTTTAATATTGTTTGAGGTTAGGGTTAGATTAAATTTAACCCCAACCTCAAACATTATTTAATATTAAAGAACATTATTAAGAAGCAGTGGATCGGATCTACTAGAGTCACTGTTTAAAGTTTTGCTCAGAATGCTTGGTGAAAAATGGTGCCTGGAAACTCACACAGGGATATGTGGATAGAATAAAAGGATAACACTTTATACATGTGCTTTTTTTTTGGGGTACATTTATTGGCTTTAAAAAAAATTCCCCATTTGTGGGCATTAGTTTGTACTGCTGTTTACAGCTTAATTTTATTTTACATAACTTGTCTTTTTGCTTTTTTTTCATGCAAAAATTGCATATAAATGTGTATGTGCTCAATCACAACCATAAAAATTAGGTTTAGCAGTGCTAGATTGTTTAAATACCGTCAAAAAGAACCATTTGATACAAGCGGATATTATCCTAACTGCCATTAATAATACTTTTTCTGTAAGAACATTAAGTAATTATGTCTCATTATATAAATATATTCTCTTTTAATCTCAATCAACAGGCTAGAATCAAAATTTATAAAAACATTGCTTCTTCCTAAGGTTATGATGTGAATTCAGATTTTGTTGTTTAATAGCTATTTCTAATACTAATACAGTTAACCTAAGAAACTAATTTAGTAGCATTATCACAGAAGCTAGACTAATTAATCCAAATAAAAAAGTTGATGTCTCCTACTTAGCTTATGGTATGTTTTCTCTCTTTTCAGACATTTTCCCATCATTAAAACAAGAAAATGCCGAAAGCAAGGCAGAGTGCAAGAGGAAAGAAAGCAGCTAAAAAGGTGGCTGCAGCTGAGGAGCATGAAGAGAATATTGCGGATGAGTCCGTAGATGAAGTCAATGACAGCCAGAACAATGATAGTCAGGTGCAGGAATCGGCTGACAATGCCACATCGGTAGAGCAAGATATAAATGCAGCTGCTGAAGCTATGGACACATCACAGAGCATTGAGGAATCTAATGGAAAAACTGTCCAGAAAGTAGTTGAAAAGGCAAAGAAGGAATCAGCACATGTAAGCCAGGGGACAAAAGCAGACCATGGCAAGGAAGTAGGTAATACTCACGGAGAGCCTATGGAAGCACAGAGTATTGATAAGAAGGTCAAACAGCCTGTGGAAGCACAGAGTAATGATAAGAAGGTCAAACAGAATGATGTTAAAGAGGCACCTACAGGCGTGACAGAAGAAAAGAAAATTGAGAAAGAAAAGTCAGACAACAAAACTGAGAAAGAGAAGCCAGATAGCAAAGCAGAAAAAGAAATTGCCGAGAACAAGATTGACATAAAAGTTGATGTTTTGAAGCCTTACAAGCCTCACACAATTCCGGCCTTTGTCAGTAATAAATTGCTAGGTGAGTTTTGAGAAATTGTTTTCAATGCTAAACCGTTGTTCCCACTCACAGTGCTAAATATTTTAATTGTTATGTTTCATGATGTGATTTCTGTAGTATAAAAAAACATTAGGGTTACAGCTTTGGGCACTAACTCACAAAGAAAGCTGATTGCCACATCAGAAAAAGACAACATTTCTGTGGTCATGTCATGAAGAGAAGACTGGAGGATAGTAGGAAAGTTGGAGAAGAGGCAGGAGACTTCGCAGCAAATATTCAAAGGCCTAGCAAACATTGCTGTTGAATGTTGCAGTTGCACACTGGTTATACATATGTCCTGCTCTTCCTCTCGTGCACCCTATCTTGTTAGATCTGCACTTAACTTCACACAACCTTACAGGTTATTTTATCCAGGGTTCGTAGCGGGCCTTGAGACCTTGAAAGGTTTGGGAAGTGCAAGATCCCTACCAAGGTCTGGAAAAAAACTCAAGATTTTTATGAAAACTGACAGAAATCCTGGAACTTTACACTCAAGCAGAGTGGGTCAAGGCAGTCATTTCAGGACCATGTTCACACTGGGAATGAACGAACACACTTTATTTTCAAAGGGTCACAAATTAGGCATGCAGGCCCGTCTTGCATTCAGTCCTTCCAAACACCCATCTTTTTCACAGGTTGTATTTTTTAGGAGAAGGAGCTGGAAAAAGTGATATCATTAAGATTTCTCAATTCTTTTTTTAAGGTTTAGTGTTCCATTTCTTCCCCTTTTTGATCTTCCGCTTTTCGACCCCTCTCCTTTCTCCCTCCTTCCTCTCCCTGTATCCTTGCTGATTTCTCTCACACTACCCCCTACCCCTCTTCTTTCTGTCTTCTCTCCATTCTCCCTCCCTCTGGTGTTCATTTCCTTGACTTCTCTTTTATTTAGTAGCTGGGTCCAGTACACAAGAAATTGTGTTATGGTAGGGGAAGGAAATGGGGTTTCAGCATCGATCTGTTTTATTAGCACCCCTGACATTTAGCCTTTCTATTTGTCACTGCCTTCCTCTCTTTCTCTGTTTACCTCCCTCCCTTCTCTTGCTCTGCCTTTCTCTCTGTTTTTCTCACCCTCTGTCTGCCTCTATATATTGTCCTGTGTGTGTGTCTCCTTTTTTTTTGTCTACATGTTTCTGCTTGCATCTCTTTCTCTGCATGTCCCTTCTCTCTTCCTTCCTGTCTTTCTTTCTCTTCATCTATCTATTTCTACCTGCCTTTTACCACCCCTCTCTGTCTTTTACACTCTCTTCTACTCTACCACAGCATCTGTCTTCCGCCCTCTCTGTATGACTCTCTGTCTCTCCCCCTCCCCCTCCCTCCCTTAGCCACCAGGTCTACTAGGAACTAAAATGTAAAACACTTTATCTGTGCTGGTATACCCACATGTATGCACAATTATAAAGTACTGTGTGTGCTCGGAACACCATTGAACAAGACAAAAATACCTTGCCCCAATTACCCCGAAACAAGCTTGAAAAAAAAGTAAGAATAACCTAAAAAAAAGCCTTGAAATTAAATGGTAAATTTGGCTACGAAGAACCCTGTTTATCTAACATCGTATCTTCCATCAGCACTCTGTAATATGTGTGTTTGTAATGTTTTGTTTGAGAAATGTATCAAATTCCTATAGATTTAGCTCCTGTGGCACAGAAAATTCTCTCCTTGGTTCCCTAGTATTCCTGCATGTCCAAGACACTATATCCACATGAGTCCTTGTAATGTTGATGTTTTTGATGGCTTCATGGTGAAATAGTGAGGCCACCTGACAGAGAGTGACAACTGTGTGTTCATTGTCAGTCTACATCCGGTAGCAGTTTATAAGTGCAGTAAGTAATTCAGGAGAAGTTAACAGGTCGTTGCTGAAGCTAAGGGCTGCTACTTTTTGTAGCTAATATTTCTGCGGAGAGACCAACTCAGGTGAAATGAGGTTATCACCTTTTTAAGAAAAAAATACATATTAGATACATTTTTGAATAACATAATTGGTCCATAGGAGTGAATTAGCTTATAGCTGTTTTTAAATTATTTGTATATTTGACATAATTTTCAAATGTTTATGTTGACTTCTATCAACAGAAAAATATGAGTGGCATTTTCGAGTGTTTCCCATTGACCAGTCAGACATCAGAAAGTGTGTCATAGACTGTATGTCTAAGATTGCCCAAGATACATGGACATACATTGACAAGAATTCTAATCAAGGGTATGCTACAGTTATGCAGTACTTCAGTATATATGTTGGGCACACACACATACCTACGGTCAAAATGGACGTTAGGCAGCGGCACTGTTCGAAACAGAGGCAAATTTTTTTGCTTCAGCCCTACGGTGGCTGATGCATTTTTGCTTCATTTGTAGACTGGATATAGTTTCGTCGCCCAGCTTCTGAGTTGAATGCATGGCGTGACCCTGTGAGCTGCAGATTGCATTTGGAATGTTTTTTCGACTGTGGCCAACGTGTTGGTGTGAATTGTAGATTTAGAAAATGGCGCGATGCCTGTCGTGCAGTGTTGTGGGGCCCGTATGTGATTAAAATTGATCGCGTGGGCAACTGCTGATCTGTTGGCGACTTCTGCTACCATCAATGATGAACTGCAATTCTAATACTGTGATAAACATTCTGTGTGTTTTTCGTTGGCACACAGGAGCGGAGCAAAGATGGGGTGACCCGTTTGCTATGAAGCTGAAACTAAGACTACCAGACCAGTATATATGTTGACATACATACTTATATCATGTCTTTAAACAGGCAGTAATTTTTTTTTTAAACTAGCCAATGGAATATTACAGTGATAAATATTAAAGTCCGATGTGTTATGATCACTGCCCTGTGCATAAGGCACTCAACTCAGTAGCTGGCTAACAGAACCAATTTTACTGTTACCAGGTTGTCTCATTCAGTTTCTTAACCCCAGTATTATACTGGGGAAAATGGTCTAATGTGTAAAGGCTTGAGCAAAACAAGCTAAGAGACATTAAGACTTTTGTTGTTCGTCATTGCTCCATACCCCACTCCTTTAACCTTCCCAAACCCCTAATCAGTGTGTGTATGGGTAGCACTGTTAGGAGCTACACTCCAAGTTATTGTTCTAGTTATGTGTTGCTAAGTGATAAAAGAATGCACCATTCATAAAATGGACATGCAAAGATATATTGGGCAATTTATTAATTATTTTAAAAGTAATTTTTAATTTTGATATAAAAGGAGTATCGAAAGTAATTATTCACTATAAGTAAGTATCCGGAGCCTAATTACTGCTAGACAAGGGGCAGAACAACAGTAACTGTTTAATGTGTGAAACTCTTTCTCTCCATATTCTCTTTTCTTACCCGCCCCTGTGTGGATTTATGTTTAACTGGCTGGGTGGGAACAAATTATTATGAAAATTAGCATACAAAAACTTTCACGCACAAATACATGAATAAATCAAATATAAATAAAACTGTCTTTACATTAAGAATGTTTTGATGTGTTTTTTAGGTCATTGGACATGTGCTTGCGGGATACCAATGATGCATCCACAGCTGTTCTCAGGTTGTTGCACCTGCCAGTCTCAAATCGCTACGTGACTGTTTGTATCACTCGCAGAGGAAGGGTTAGACCTGAAGTCGTAGAGCAGGTGCAACCAAAGGTTGAAGATGAAACCAAACCCAAGGTCAGTGGTGAAACTGCAACTGAGATTGATGATGAAACCAAACCCAAGGTCGGCGATGAAACTGCAGCCAAGATTGATGATGAAACCAAACCCAAGGTTGGCGATGAAACTGCAACCAAGATCAGTGATGAAGCTAAACCTAAGGTTGGTGGTGAGGCCAAACCCAAGGTTGGCGATGACACCAAAGCGAAGGTTGGCAGTGACATTAAAAAGGAAAATGAAAAAGTGAGCGAGCCAGCTAGATTGCCATACACAGAAGTCAAGGAAACAGGTACAGAATATTTGTTGTATTTATTACATTGTCTGGACACTGCATGTGAATATAGTTCTATGATGATGCTGTAGGCTATGTTAATTCCCTGTGTAGTGAGTGATGTGGATGTTCAGGTCACCTCACTAGCTTTTTTGTGTGTGCCTTGACAAACAATACTAAAATTTGTGTTATGACTTCCTCAAAAAAAAATTTCTGGAGTTGATGGTGGGGGAGGGAGGGGGGGGGGGAGATGTAGTACTGTTAGTGCTTGAACCCAGACCCTTGTCTTTGTAAGTGAGTGCTATAACCAAAGTACCACTGTTCCAGAGACATCAGGTTATTAAATGAAAAAACATGTATGTAAAAGTTAAACAAATGGGTTTACATACACTAGCAAACCAAAGCTTTATCTGGAATAGTACTAATTTATAATTGAATAATTTAGGAAATATAGGCTGTGGCAGCTTGATCACAGTGTGGGACATGTGCGTTTGCTATTGAAAATATTGGAGGAGAAAATACTGTCCATGACATAGTTGGAAAGGTCTTAGGTGTCGCATATTTGTATAGACCAAATTGTCCATGATGGATATTGCGGTTATAGTTGAGCTTGCTACCTAGTAAAAATGGAAGCAAGGGTTAATGTGCAGTGTAACCTTCTTATTCTCACTTGAAACCTAATTCTGTCTCTTGGCATTTTATATTATCAATAAACTATTTTAGTTGCCTTATAATCCCCTCATATGCCTGTGATTTTTAAAGATATAACGATGGGGGGAGTAAACAATTTGGGACAGCCGGTAAATAAAGCTATTTTATTTCACCAAGGATTATTCTGTCTTCCCATCCATATATATAAACAAATTTCTCTGTGGGTTCCAGGGCTCTGTAGTGGGAATGTAAATCTCTCTAACAAACGTGTCGTAAGAATCGTCTAATTAGGTGTTTGTTTCAGATTCTGAGTGCATCTGCCAGAAAGGCAGGGTAACAGTTAAGCCAGATCTTCAAAACGGGTGTGCGTGCAACACTCACGTCTAAAATCTGGCAGAAAGTTATGGCTGTTCTTCCACTTCTAGACTTTGGTATTGTTTCAGAACATGATTTTTGTGTGCATATCTATTTCACATTAGTGTGCAGATTATTGTTTCCCTGCCTCTTCCTAACTTCAAAGGAAGTACCTCTGAAGAGGAACCGACAGTCTACATTACATAATAATAAGCCATTTCTGGAACAAGATCAGAGTACAGAAGTGGACAAACAACCAGACCTTTTTGACATTTACCGCCGGTGAACACAAAGCAAAATTAATTTTAAACAATATATATATATACAATTTTATAGGCATACATTTTTAATGCGTTGGACCTCGTTTATATGCGTTGGACCTCGTTTACACTCATTTAAGGCTTGCATGAACAGAGTTTTGATCCCCTTAGGGACATATTATTCTTAGTGCAACTGTTAGCACAAATACTTGGATTTGTGTTTTTGGGGTCCCTTGAAATTTGTGTTAACGAGGTTTTGTGTAGAGGAATTCATAAAAATGATTCAGTAAATAATAATTACTTTTGACTTTCCTCAGCTACGCTGCTGTTAGACCTGAAGCAGGCTTCAAGTCTTGAGAAGATCAGAGGTAATCTTTTTTTGTGTGGCGCTTAATGTCTACTGAACTTTCTTCTGTCTTTCCTATCCCAGTGGGTCAGCAAACTCATGCCAAGTCCTTTGTAGACTTAAAAGGAAATAAAGTAACCTTTCAGCCTTACTTAGTCACTCTTTGTGATAGACATGGTGGGTTATATTGTTAATTTCTTTGCTTATCTTATAAGCCTGGTAAGTGAATGTTACTATTTTTTGCTTCCCTTGTGGGCCATGGTAACCCAATGGCAGTGCTTAATAGGTAATAGAAAATTTTGAAATCTTGGTTTAGCTGTAACAGCCTTGTTTCCACTATTGAGTGCTAGTATGATTTAATGTTTGTATAAAGTATGCTTTGGGTTAATGCCTTTTGATTTCAGGGTTGGAGCAGGTTTGTAATGATCTAAATTTTTCTTGTTTTGTTTATTTATCACAGAATTGTTTTAGAAGTATAAGATATGTGACCCAAACTGAGTAGAGTTATTACAGATTTATGCTATACATGGCTCTTTATTCATTCTGTGGAAGCCATTGGTGCTTTGTGTCGATGACTTTGTACTTGTCACTGATGTCCCCCAGATTTATTTGACCAACACCTCCACCATCTCCATTTAATTTCAGGCAAGGAGAAGAAACGCTCGTTGTTTGTGAAATATTTACCAGAGAGCACATCAAAAGAGCTGCTCAATGTGCTCTTTCCAGTTGCAAATAATTTGGACATCATTACGGCTGGAGAAAGTCGTAGGTGAGTAAAGACGGCCGTATCAGGGCACAGAGTGTTGGTGAGATACCCCACCCTGTGCCCCAGAGTTACCATCTTCCCCCGGCCATGGAAATCTCACCTCTTAACCTGATACGATATCGGAGGTCTGGATCATGAGTATTATACTTGTGTAACGTGGGTATTGTATTTACTATTTGGGTTGAACTACAGATGATTAATTTTAGTTTGTTTGCTGCAGGTTTTAGAAGAAAGAATATGTTTATCATTGAAACCAAAGTTTTCGGGACAGAAGATCTGGGGCCTTAGTATTACAAAGATTGAATTTTTTTTTTTAAAGATGCCATTTCTGAAGAGGGAAAAGAATTTAAAGTTTGAAAGATAATATTGAACCCTGTTAGATGGGAATGTAGAGCTTGTGATTTGAGATTGTTTACCATTTCTTTTGTTTTCAGTGTGGTCAGGCAGGGATGGGTAGCCCTTTTAAACATATTTTTTTTTCGGTTCTGTTTCTAGCACTAACCTCTCCCATAATTTCAGGGTTGGTGAGTTGGATTTCTCTGAGGACAACAACGTGGTTGGAATCCTGCAGACCTACGTAGCAATCCATATTAATGGATGCAAGAATATCACCCTGGTGTGGAAAAAAGGTATTTTTAATGCTTCCGTTACTGCTTTTGTTTTTTGGGTGTACTTAAAATTATAACTAATTTAAATATGCAATGCAGACCGCTTCAGGCGGTCATGGATTTCTGTAGTGAAGAACAGGCAATTCTTTTTATCCTCAGCAATCTTTCTTGGTAGAACTTCTTATTTGGATAAAAAATTTTCTGATTAGAAAACCATTTGTTGGGTCCATTGTCTTATCAGGCCTGAATGTATTTTATTTTAATAAAGAAACACTATAGATAAAATGATTGTAACTTGCCAGGTAAACTGGTTGTGATACATATTGTATTATATAAAATGTACATTCAAGGATCTCAAATAATTAAAAACTATGCAGTCTTGGCAGCAGTTTCATGCAGTGGATCTAGTGCTGAGTCTTGTTCTTCCTTTCTCTACTCATGAAATGCCTCGCAGGAACAGATTGGGGCCCTTTGTTTGCTTCTTTCATAGTACTTTTCAGTGTTCACAGTATTTCTGTGGTTCATCCCACTGCTGAGTATGAGAATATTACGCAGTGGGTTTCCAGTCTCTTCCGTGGTTTGCCTCTGTCTGAAAGCCACGACAGTCTTTTTCTTAACTTCCATCCATACTCAATCAGCATCCTTTATTCGTAAAACAAAGTTCTGGTGAGATTTTCTTTGCACTCACCGGCCGTAAACTCTGGCAGAAAGTTCTGGTTGTAAGTGCACTTCTGGAATTTTATTCTTGGTTGAGAACCGGAGTTTTTATGTGCCTGTTTATTTGTGCTTGTTTGTATGCAGACTGTTTGTTCCACGCCTCTCAGGCAGACACAGTCACACATACACAGTGGGGCCCTGAAACCAACTCGAAAGAATATATTCATTTGATTCATGAAACGTTTTTGACTAGGCATATATTTCTGTAATTATTTTTAATAAAACTGCACTTAGCTGGTGTTAGCAATAGCCAAGTCACTTGTAGGGAGATGCAGTAGCAACGTGTCTGCCGGCCCCATTGTCATAGGATAGTTTCCCCATCAGGCCAGATTTTTAAATTTTTTGCACCAAACAATTACATGGAAAATACAGCTTGGCAGGCTGATAGTGTCATCATCCACTAGATGCTGCTAGGTCTGTACACATAAGGGTCTAGCTCTCTTCTGTGTTTGCTATGAAGGATTGAAAATGCGGTCTGTGCTTACCTTTAAGTAACTTGTAAATTTTAATTTACAGTTGTGTTCAGTATTGTTAAAACATAGTGCTTTGCTTAACCACCTATGCTATTGTTTTTGCCTGTAAACAGAAGACATTGAAGATGGCAAGCTGCAGTCTGAGGCCATTCGAAGTCCGCCAAGTGAAAGCTTACCCAAGAATCCAGAGATTTCTTATGAAGCTGTTCCAGAAATAGATGAGGATGACACCGTTCAGTACCACAAGCGCAAAAGGGACATGGAAATTGAACAGAAGAACAAACTGAAGGAAAGGGAGACACGGGAGAAGAAAAGCCGTTGGGATAGAGATGGCCCAAGCAAGGAGTCTGACAGAAAAGGCCTACTGGCGGGAAATGAAAAAGCCCAACCTTTGCTGCCGAGTTTGGAAAGTGTTAACAAACCTGCATTGCTTCCAGGACTGGTAGCCTCCATGGCTGGGAGGGGCTTGTTAGATCAAGGCAAGGGGGAGAGGCAAGATAGGTTTGATCGAAAGAGAAAGGCCCCTGAAGGAGGGAGCCCAGATGATAAAGACAGGAGCAGGTCATCGGGAAGAGATAGGAGTGGAGGAAGGGATAGAGAAAGACCTGATAGCTTTGGGAGTCGCTCTGACAGCCAAGGTAGAGGAGGTTTGTTTGATGGTCAGCGAGGCAGCCAGTTTGGCAGTAGAGATGGGAAGTTTGAGGGCCGAGGCAGGGGTAGATTTGATAGCAGTGAAAGGGGAGGAAGATTTGGCGCAAGACCAAGCAGATTTGATAGCCAGGATGATCAGATAGAAAACAGGGGGAGAGGAGGGCGTTTTGATAAACCAGACAGAGATGATCAGTTTGATGACCAGAGTGATGACGGGCTTGAGAGAGGTAGGGGAAGAGGTGGATTCGATGGTAGGGGTCGCAGTTTTGATAGCAGAGGAAGGGGTGGTTTTGATAGCAGAGGTAGGGGTGGTTTTGAAGGCAGAGGAAGAGGTGGCTTTGAAGGCAGAGGAAGAGGTGGCTTTGAAGGCAGAGGAAGAGTGTTTGAAGATCGGGATAGGGGAAGTGACCGGGAAAGTAGCTTTGGCAGCAGAGGAATAGGTGGTTTTGGTGGAGGTAGAGGATCTGATGCACGAGGAAGAGGTGTGGATGCTAGAGGGCGTGGAGGATTTGATAGCAGAGGAAGAGGATTTGAGGGAAGGGGAAGAGGATTTGAAAGCAGAGGACGGGGAGTGGATAGCCAGGTTAGAGGAGGCTTTGAAGGCAGAGGAGTAAGGGAGTCAGACACTGGGAGAGGATTATTGGAGGGTGGAAGGGGCATTTCTGATAGAGGAAGAGGGGTGTCTGAGAGGGGACGAGGAGGGTTTGATAGTCGTGGAAGAGGCTCGGACAGTATGGGAAGAGGAGCATCTGATAGAGGAAGAGGGGGATTTGATAACCGAGGGAGAGGAAGCGGCTTTGACAGTAGAGGAAGAGGTGGTGGCTTTGATAGTAGAGGAAGAGGAAGCGGTGTTGATAACAGAGGAGGAAGGGGAGGTTTTGGAAACCAGAGTGGCGGTCAGTTTAGAGGTAGTGGATTTGGAGAGAACCAACAAGGTCCCAAAAATTTTGGCTTCTCTGGCAATTTTGGGAACCAGCAGGGCACTGAAAGTGGTAAACAAGGAGGATTTGGAAATCAAGGCAGCTACAACCAGACAGGCAATTTTAGAAATCAACAAAGTGGTTTCGGCAACCAGCAGGCAGGCATGGGAGGGAACAAACAGACTGGTGGATTTGGTAATCGGCAGTCAGGTTTTGGCAACCAGCAGTCCGGCTTTGGTAGCGGTGGACAACAAGGCAGTTTCGGCACCGGTTCACAGCAAGGCAGTTATAGTACTGGTTCGCAGCAGGGAGGTTATGGTACCGGTGTCCAGGGCGGTTACGGTACTGGCGCCCAGCAAAGCGGTTATGGAAGTGGTTCCCAGCAAGGCAGTTACAGTGCTGGTACTGGTGCAACTCCGAGCAGCTACAGCACTGGTGGCACACAGCAAGCTGGTTATGGCACAGGTGCTCAGACAGCCAGTTACGGAACCGGTGCGGGGCAGCAAGGTTACGGTACCGGTGCTGCCCAAACTAGTTATAGTACAGGTACTCAGCAGACAAACTACAGTACTGGTTCCCAACAGACCAATTACAGTACCGGCACTCAACAGGCTGGTTATGGTACTGGCACTCAGCCAACTACTGGTTATGGTACTGGCACTCAATCAACTACTGGTTATGGTACTGGCACTCAGCAAGCTGGTTATGGTACTGGTACCCAGCAAAGCGGCTATGGAACCGGAACTGACTACACCGCCCAGGCTGGTTACGGTACACAAACTGGTTACGGTACCCAAACTGGCTATGGAGATCAGCAGGGCACATATGGCACTCAGGCAGGTGGTTATGCCAGTTACATGGGCCAGGATGCCTATGGGACCCAACAGGCCGGGTATACGGCGAGCACCACCCAGGCAGACACTTACAACTGGAATCAGGCCTACTCTGGTCAGGCATCGTACACGTCGGCGACCACAGCAACACCAGGCCAGCAGCAGACAGACTACAGCAGTCAGGCTTATGGGCAGCAGCCAGCAACTGCAGGGGGGACAGCAACAGCAGCCGCAGCAACAACTGCAGATCCGACTGCAGCACAGAGTGCTTATGCTATGTCTGGTTATGATCCCCAAAGCCTAGCCATGGCTGGTTACTCTACTGATGCATACGCCACCCAGGGTTACTACGGTGTCGGTGGTCAGACAACAGGGGTTGCTGAGTAAGTATGTCATTTTATTTTGATCTTCTCAGTGGGTTTACTTTGCTGGGGTTTTTTTCTTCCTTTTTTCAATGAACTCCATACTCTGTGATTTTAATCATATTGCCTAAATAAATAGTCCTGCTATACTGCACACTGCTGGTTGTTTCTCATATGTTTAGGCTTACCCTGTCTATCCTCACCTCCCAGCTTCCTCTCATGGCTTATTCCCATCCCTCTTAAAATTTCTCACTGTGTGGGTTGGTTTATTCAATGATGATTTAAATACTGTGGTGATTGTCTGTTAGTCTCAGAACTATCTTATTCAATGATGATTTAAATACTGTGTTGTTTGTCTGTTAGTCTCGGAACTATCTTATTTAATGATGATTTAAATACTGTGTTGTTTGTCTGTTAGTCTCAGAACTATCTTTTGAAGTAGTTTTTCATTAATCTCTTAAGTTGGCAGTCATCTGTTTACATTTGTTCATATGATGCATTGCTTGGTAGACGAGTGTTTAGTTGTAGAATTGTTGCACATAGTCGATTACTTGCTGTAGAAAGTTGCAGTAATAATTTTGACAGAAATAACAAGCGGATGTTAATATTTGTCGGAGTAGCTATTTTGAATAAGAAGTAACATATTTATAAATAAGTTTGGACCTTATTAATAATATAAGGGTTTTCTGTGGTGGGGGAAGTTATGTGTATGTGATGCTAGCTTGTGTAGAACCTTTTTCAAACCCTGCGCCATCTGAGGAAGTAAATTGTCTAACTTAGCCTTGAAGCACAGCTGGTTCATTTTTCTGCTACAGTGTTTTCAGTATTGTCACATTTTTGTCATTTGCTTTGATAAATGGCTGAGATGTTTATTTCTCCCCACAGATCTTGTTTCTTAGATTCCTAAATCAGTTCTGATTTTGCTGTTCCTCTTTCAGCATAATTTCTTATGATGGTTCACATCTGCATTGTTCTTCAGTGTCTTTCTTCTTAACAGGTGATCAAAGAACACTATTTCCTGCATTTGCACACATCCCTATGTGGGTTCCGGAGAGCCTTTCTCCCCCCCCCCCCCCCAAAAGAATATACCCAGTGTCGGCCTAAAAAGCATGTCGTAAAAGTCGACTAATTGGTAGCTTTCCTTGAAGTCTTAAAACATCTGCCTGAGAGGCAAGAAACCAAGTTTGCATGTAATTGAGTCAGACCTGTAAAAACACATTTGCACTCAACTCCTGGAACAGGACTAGGGTCCAAAAATAGGTGTACACCAAGAAAAAGACTGGCTTACATCGTCATCACTGACTGGGTTTCTTCAAGCAGATATTGGTTGTTCTGAGTATTTGAATCATGCTGTGGTATATTTATGTATGGTTTTTTTCTTCAGGGTGCTAGATGATTAGTGATGAGTTGATGAGAAAATGATGCAGCGGATATGTTCTCTTAGAATAATGTAGACAGCAAAGAAATGACAGTGTGGATTTTGTTTTTTTTATTTAGAATAATGTGAATAGCAACAAATTAACAATGGGGATTTTTTTTTAAAAGAATATTGTGGGCAGAGAAGAAAACAACAATGGAGTATTGACAGCTGCAGACATTACTTACCTAAAGCTGATAAATCTGTTTATTATTACAGCACCACATATGGAACATACGGCACTCAGGATGCCTCTGCTACAACGGCAACAGCCACCTACGATGCCACTGCCCAGCAGAGTACCCTTGCAGCAGCAGCAGCATCGTACAGCTATGCTCAGTACCCCACAAGCACCTCGTGAGCACATAACTGAGACATGTTGAATTTCTCAGGTTGGTTGATATGTCCTTAACAGTTTGTGGTTCATCTGAAGACGGTATCATTGAAATGCATGGTAGCCTTATGCGATGTTTTAATTATCTTTTTTAGTAGAATGTAGAATGAAGTGAAGGTTTGCCATCTTTGTAAAACATTTTTTTTTTTGGTACTTCTTTTTGTGTGTTTGTTTTTATCACCCCTTGTGCTAGTGTTTAGTGTTCGTGCAGTGGGGAAATGAAGAAGAGATAGAATGATTGATCCTGCAGAGTGGTGGCAACATCAGATTATACATGTACCCTAAGCTCTTATATTGTGGCTTGTTCCCATCATACCAATGTGTTTTAGGAGTCATCCTCAGTTTGGGTCTTGTGTTTTGTAGGTTTATCATATGCATTCCATCTAACCTCTTCATTAGTAACTTTACCAGAGTTGTTGTTATGATAATGCTACTTGTTGTTTTCCTGTCTGTCGTACGTTTAAATGTTATTTGTTTGATTAAAAAGTGTGGTTGGAGACAGAGCAAGTTATCAGGTAAACAGACTAACCTGGTATGCTAGTTGTTTTTATTTTTAAACTTTAAAAAAAAAAATTCATTGATCTTTCATTTCACAAACCCTACATATTAAATTTCATATCCAGTCATTTTTTAACCACTGTTCATCATTGCATTTTGGGATCTTGTTTGTAAATACACGTTCAAGAATTGTATTTTTTTTTTAAATTCAGCCTTTATTTAAAGGGCATGACCTGCATCCTGAAACCACAAGGAAATTGTCTCTCAGATAATCATTTCTTGTATTATTTTCACACTTTGTAACTGATTAAAATCAACATTTCTCTCTGGTCATATTCTAGTTTGAGATTGTGACTTTACCAATTCATTGCTTTTGTTTTCTTCTCAAAATATGTATTTTGTTATACATTGCGTTTGTGGGGAAAAAAAATCATGTTTGTTTTGCTGTATGTGTATTATGTTTTTTTTTATTGTTCCCATTAATTGCCCTGTGTGAACTTGTTTGTGTCTGAGAATTCTCCATTACTTTATGCTGTTTTCACTTGAATAAATGGTGATCTTCTAAACAGTCTCACTTCATGGTTCCACACTTTTTTGTTTTGTCCTGTTTCTGATAATTTTTGTGTCTTAAAAAATAACAGATTCTTTATTCTCAGGTGAACCATGTTTTTCTTCCATGTCGTGCCTGTTAAGCTATCTCCTGTCCCACATGGAGAAGTGTTATTTGGGAAGTTAATGATTGCATTTTAAAAGAACCAGTGATATTTAAAAAGAAGCAGTGATCAGTATAAAACAGATTACTTTTCAAAGAGTGGTTTTTATACATTCTGGCACCACTGGACTTTAAACATACATTGGGGTCTGTATAATAAACAAAACAGATGCCTCATCTGAAGGAACATTTATTTGCTACACTGTCTCAAGCGTCATTTAAAAAGCTGCTTACAATACACTCCTCACTGAAGACAAGCTGCTGAATTTCACACTCATGCCCTTGTATTCTAACTTGCACACAATCTATAGTTAAACAAGATAAAACAACCTAATAGAACAAGTCTTCTTAGGACTTGATCTCAGTACATCTGAGATTGATTTGACAAGTCTTCAAAGGCACTTGTTCTAGAAGATGAAACCAGATTTACTAACAGGCAAGGTGTGTAACATTTGCAAATGGAAATCATCTCATGTTATGTGTTACAGATTTACACAGAGCTGATTTAAATGCATTTAGTTTAGTGATACAGTTGTAGAAATAAATGCTGTTCTTGTTAAGATATATATATGTTTGGCACTGCTCTACATACTTCCTCTACATGTTTCACTCTTGTTCATGTTGAACGTGTCTGTTGTTAATCTAGTCTGTTTCTGTTTCCTTTTAGTTACAGCGACACTCTTAAAATATAACACAACTTTGCTTGTGAAATCTGTTGTGGCATTTTCTTCCTCAGCAACATCAAGGGTGCTTTATTACCCCTTCCTCTCTCTTTCCCCCCCCCCCCCCAATTGGGTTGCCATATTCAGCGTAAAGAATTGTCCTCTAACTTAATATCCAGAACAATATATACCTGCGTTGCTGCAATTGAAATATTTTATGTATGTATATTTTCTTTCTTTGACAACTGCATACAGGATTTTGGATCCAAATTACGTCTTCTCTTGTGTTGTTGCAGGAAAGATGGTCGTATATTTTATGAGTTGCCACCAGAATCCTTTTTCAGTAAAACATGGAATGATTGCTAGCATGTAACATTTGCTATAGATACAAAAAAATACAAAGGAAAGAGCTTTTACGTCTGTAATAAACATGCCTTTACAATATAAAGAGCCAAAAACAAAACGGTCAGCTCCTAAAATCAGTAAATGCTTCATCTTTAATAATTGGAAAGGCATTAATGGTAACAGATGCTTGTTCTTGTCCTTGTACTGGCTGACAGTGTCTGCTGGTTTTTGCTTACCAGTAAAGCATTGTATGATTTCTTGAAACTTGTAAAAGGCAAGGGGCTTAGGACGTAAATGAGAACTATAAATTGCATATTCTACTAAGGACAACTTTTAGCTTGTCTGATAGTTTTTATTTTTCAAACAATGGCAAGTAAAATAGTTCTGTGTTGAATTAATACTGTAGTCATTAATACTGAACCAATAAAGATTTGTATAATTTTGTTCTTTTTGCACCTGGTAAACTTTCTAGATGTTCATTGATCAGTTAAAACAGTTTTATTTAGTCATCACATAAGTACTTTACCATTGAAAGGCTGTTTATTTAGTCATCACATAGGTACTTTACCATTGAAAGGCTGTTTATTTAGTCATCACATAGGTACTTTACCATTGAAAGGCTGTTTATTTAGTCATCACATAGGTACTTTACCATTGAAAGGCTGTTTATTTAGTCATCACATAGGTTTTACCATTGAAAGGCTGTTTATTTAGTCATCACATAGGTATTTTACCATTTAAAGGCTGTGTCACTTCTATGTATCTCAAGTAATAACTGTTGTTAAAGTTGTTCTCTGTGCGATAGGGACCTCGTGCAATGTTCTGTTTGCTATCTTTATCTTATACATTTGTCTACACAGTCCTGGAAGGGAATACTTGACAATGCCTATTTTGTGAAAAAAAAATATGTATTCAAAACATCTCCAAAATTCTGTCGAATTTGTTCAAAAAACACAAAGGTCAAGACTGTGTGAGGGCCCAAGCGAACAAATGCTGGAACAAAACCCTTGTGAAAGAAAAGGAATAGAAAAAAAAATGTAAGCATCACATAGTTCAGTTTGGTAACTGCTGCAATAATTTATTCAAGCCAGCAATCTCCTGTGCATAGCCTAACGTGGTTCAACTTTTTTGGTCATAATACTACATATAGCTTCTCCTTGTTTCTGTAATTGTGTCTCTTCTCATTTCCTCAAGATATGGCTATTGCGGACTCCTCTCCTAATTCTTTCATTTCTTTGTGCTGTGGTCGTCATTGCTGACATCAGTTTTTCTATACTTGTTGTGTATCAAACTACATTTCTGTAAGGCCTGGACTGTTTACTAACATTTATGGTACAGTTGAAGAATATGTTAGGGTATGAGGATGTAAGTGTTCTAATTTGTGGATATAAGCAACAGCTGTCATCATAGGTGGTTAAGATAATACATGGTAAATGCTGCATGAGGCTAATTTCTAAAGAATACTATACAATGACAAGACTTTAATGGTTTTATTAGTAGTATGAGAATAATGGGACTTACTGTGGCAACCAAAAAGAAGGAACGTGTTAAAGATGGACCCATGGAGAAAATAATCGATAGGGTGGCAGAGATGCACAGTGGGCAGGTGTTTTGCTAAACTTGAAACAAACATAAGAAACTAGGTGTGGAGACACAAGCATCTGTGGTATAATATGCCTCAGCGTGTGTATCCAGGTAGGTATAAGTATGTGTAAGCATACTTTAAGTGGATATGTTTGACAACTGCTAGCTGGGAAATGAAACAGTTTTGTGAAAACAGCCTCAGAGGTGTCCACCAGAAGTATGTCAGAGTATATTTCATATATTCAATTTACATTTCAGTTATGTTTCTTCAGATGCTGTCTGCAACATTAAGATATAGAGAAGTAAAACATGATGTCTATAAATTCAGGAAGCTCAATGCAATACAAATTTGGATTCAGTATAAGTGCTCTGTAACATTAAATTATAGAGAAGTAAAACAGGTTAGATGTAGCAAAAAGTGTATACTTCTCATCCTAAAGTCAGTCCCTTTTATGTGTTACACAGGGCTCACCATTTGTTTCTCACTTCTGTTGTGTGCAATCTTTTTTGACATGGATGGGATCCAGCACAGTTGACCCCTCTCATCGACATCCATCTTAGGGTGACATTGGATTTTCTTGTTTCCCATTTCTTTGCCTGATTGATGACTCTTCCGTTTACATCTGTAGCACATGTGGTAATGTTCTAGCCCGGAGAGAATGGATTACAGAATCTGACAAATAAGAGAGAAGCAATTACACGTACACCTGGTATAGAGAAACGTGTAGTGAGTGAGTTTGTACAGAAACAGTCAGCCTAAAATGCAAATATACTTCATACCTTAAAGAAGCCAAGTGGTCCGTTCTTTCCTATATCAAGTGCACATGACATTATACTCTGTGGAGAATAAAATATGTCCATTTAAATGGAAGCATCTAACAGTTCCACATATGATAAACCCATAATGATGCTAAACCTATTGATACACCAACAGTTTTGTCCTTGGTTGCAGGTGAACACATACCTTCATGGCATATATTATTGTCTGCATTGACACATACTAGTCCATTGTTCCTAATACCATGCAGATTGACATGGCTTGCAAGGCATCTCTTTCCCTCATGTGGAACAAGATCTTCATCAGCCCGTAGGTCTTGTCTAGTCATTCATGCCCAAAATACAGTTTGCAGCATGGAGATGTATTTGGGGTGAGTTGAGTATGCCGAAGTAACAATTGCTGGTATATCTTAACACTCATTGTCAGTTGCCAAGAGTTTTCTGAGAATACTGCCTTGCCTGCTCTTAGCAGCAATACTATATTAATAGTTGCAACTTTTAGTTTTAACTGTCTCTTATCTCAGATAAATATTGACTTTTCCCTTGTCTGCTTTTCTTGTAGATCTCATCTACATCCTGTCCATTTAAACACAGCACATTTAACAAATGTTAAGTCAGCTGTTAGTGATTCACAATCCAGACTTTTAACTAGACTCTTTTGGTGATTAATTTCCTTCCATTTGGGATTTGAGTGTTGTATCAATTTTTCCTATATCAAGCTATTTTTCCTACATGAACTATCACTGGTTAACCCTGCTGCTTTCTCCTTCACCATTATAAGCCCTCAGGTTTCCATAAAGATTTCAGTCAGAAGAAACCCTTTAATTGTTAATATAATTTTTTACCAGTGATTTACTACAATTTTGAATAGCTTTTCCTCTGCATGAACACTGGAGGCTGGAAATAGTAAAGTAGATGTCCGCCCTCATATGGGTTACAAAGATTACTTTTGGATTTGTATAAAGGTTGCAGAAGATTATGGGGCACTTCACAGCTTCTCTAAAGGCTGTGCCTGGACGTTTGAAGATTAAGTACCAAAAGAGCCATTAGAGAGACAGAGGTCCAAGTTCAATTCCTAGAGAGGCAGGATTCAGTTTTCCCAAGCACTATTGATCCGGGTGAGCAGGTGAACTTTCTGATCCGCCTGTGAAACAGAAATAGTGAGAAATGTAATTGGCCACTTCATTATAGAGTACTGTGGCCTAACATTCATGTCCCATATATTTAATATCTCTCTAGGAACTGCCTTGTTTCAAACAGATGTGGCCATACCATATAAAAGATTAGAACCACAAATGGCTTACACTATAAAATCCAGGTGGAGCATTCATCATTCTTGTCTTCATCACATCAAGGGGCTGTGTCAGAAGTGTTGCTATCATGCCCTGCGGAAGACATAAGTGGACATTGGACTAAGGAACCAAGCTTGTTAAATTATAAAGCAGCTGGAAAGGGGGGGGGGGGGGGGTATGTGAATGTATTTATGGGAAATGCCTGTTTAAGTCTGAAATCTACATCAGTATTAGGTGCCCATACATTAGAACATTATATACAGAATCACCCCTCCCAACAAAACAAAAACACCAGAGAGAATCAGAAAGTGACTTTGCACATGAGTGTATTTTGCCAGTACAATGCAAATTTGAGGGGGGGGGGGGGGGGTTGCCTGATTATCTGGAATGTAATACACATCACTATTTAATCCTCAGATGGCAAGTTTTTTTTTATTTGGACAAAAGATTCTAGAGCACACTGAAACACTAAAGTTCCTTAAAGCCATAATGGTGCGGTGTAGTTAGTATACATTACTTTCATGTATTTGGTTCCCACTTGAAAGATTTTGTAGTCATAGGGGGAGTTGTCATGCTTGTGTGTCAGCATTCTTTGGGAGAAAGGGACATTTTGAAGTATGGATACCTCTTGGTTCTCATAAAATGATGCTCATGCTGTGATGCCCCTTAGTTCTCATAAAATGATGCCCATCCTCATTCTGTGATGTCCCTTAGTTCTCATAAAATGAAGCCCATCCTCATGCTGTGATGTCCCTTAGTTCTCATAAAATGAAGCCCATCCTCAAGCTGTGATGTCCCTTAGTTCTCATAAAATTAAGCCCATCCTCAAGCTGTGATGTCTCTTAGTTTTCATAAAATGATACCCATCCTCATACTGTTATGTCCCTTAGTTCTCATATTTCTTTATATGGAAGGAGTCTGAATTTGTGTTAGTTTAGAAGACCCTTGCAGTTATGTGTGTCCATAAATGATGAAAAAAAAGGAATGCAAAATAACAGGTGCAACTTTTATAGTTTAGCAGAATAAAAAATTGAACAGATCGGTGCACTGGTAGTTCGACATGAAGAAAACTAGCACACTGTTGCTGAAAAAAGCCAAAGGAAATGGGGCACAAATGGGCATGTTCATTATTTGTCTTTGTCCTTTTTTCCTACTCTTTCAGGTGTACGGAGCCACCACAGTTGTTGGCCCCTCGTTCCGAGAATCCTGTGCCTCAACAGGTGTCATATGCCGAATGCTGTCGTGTTTTTGGTAGCCGTCTGTTGTATACTGTAAGGTTGTACATCACATCCACCCCTTAAATTAGTTATCTCTTGTACATGAAGAGCAGTGGTCCTAACTTTCTTTCTCCTCAGGGGCTGACTATAAACAAAAAACAGATGACATGAATGTTGTCAGTATTAGATAACTAATAAACTAGACAACTAACCAAACAGGCACACAGTATCAAGTCTTTGAAAATGATACACAAGTTCAAGAAAAATAACTGGATAATTTGCAGGCAAGAAGGATGATGCAGAACAAAAATGTGCCCAGCATTGTTTGATCCTTTGTCTGTGGGTCTCTCTCAACATTTGCTAGTTTAAACTCACATAAGAAGTATGCCATCAAGACCAAATGAACTTTTATGAATTATAAAAGGGTTGTCTTCTAAATAAAAATAACTTTAGTCATGATTGGGGGGAAAGTAGGATTTGAATATCTACTGGATCAGGCTGTGTCAAGATTACCACTGATTGGCTCTAACACTGTAACTGAAGACAGAACAGAAATATAACGTGACATCTTTTCTTCCTCAGCCAGCAAACTGTTCCAGTTAGAAATACTCATTTTCTCATTTTATCTGTTACTAATGCTGCCGGTCATAGGGAATTGTAGTTTTCCTGTTCTCAGGATGCGCCCAAAGAATAACCGGTTGTTTCTTCCTGGTTCCTGTGTTTCGCAACACATAGACTACTGGTAATATTTTCAGCAGAAGCTGACACTAATGCCCACCCACTGTGGACTGCTAGTTAATAAGTAGCCATAAGGTACCCTTATATACTAATTGTTATATGGTCAACAGGGCTTTCCAGAGATATGTGCCTGTTTGACTCTTATCCATGGGGTATTTATCCTACAGAATGCTGTTCGGGAGGGGAATAAAAACAGTTTTCAGCAAGCAATTCACAGACATGTCTCAGATACTGCCAGAATGAATGTAGCCCAAGATCAGGCATTGTATTTTTACAGCACAAACAAACAGCTGAGCCCGTTTTATCCTCCTCTGTGAGATGTTAATCCTACAGAATTGGGGGGGGGGGGGGGGGGCAAAGGGCACTAAAAACATTTTTCAGCCAGCAGTTCACAGACATCATATCTAAGATACAGCCAGAATGAGTGTCGCCATATTTCAGGTATTATTTTATTTCTGCAGCACAGACAGAAGCGGGTGAGGGACACACAACTTACAGCCAGAGTACTTGATGTTAGGTGCAGTGTTAAGTTGTCATTGAAGAAACTAGACTTCAGCAATAAATTCTTCAGCTGGTCATAACAAGCCAACTGTCCAACCGTGACTAGGACCGCTCTGCTGCTGGCCATTGTGGCACCATTGAAAGCTTTGATGGGACCTTCATACCGCACCACTCGATACATTCCATCAATTGCGTGCTTGTAGCTGGAGAAAATATTCACAGGTCAAATGATGTAAACAATTATAACAGCTAAATCTCCAGCTAAGATAGTATTTTGTGCCAGCTCTGTTTTAGGGTAAGCTCTTAGGAGTTGTCAGCAACCTCAGGTTGACTGCCTTTTTTGGATATGTTAAAAATTATATCTAGTGTAGACTCTGAAACAGGCCGTAGTATCTTAAGCTTGCTGGGTGTGATGGGATTCATCCTCTTTTTTTTTTGCCCCTTATCTCTAACTGAAGCAGATCACATGAACCAAAAACTTTAGGGGGATTGGGGGGGGGGGGGGGGGATCTCTGCAGCAGCCTCCATGTCCTCACATTCATTTAGGTCTTTAATTCTCTTCTCAGTATGTTTTCTGTCTCTATTTCTTTTGCTTGCGGATTCCAGAGAAGTAACTTTTCAGTATACTACTAGCTGATTATCTCAAAGTGTCCACTATCCAGTACCAATCTTTTAGGCTTTACTTTATTGTAAAAACTATATTCTAAATACTTATTTACAAAATGTGCATATTCCAAGGGCAAATGAGAATAAATAAACTCACTTTCTTCTTTCTTCTTTTGGCAGTTTTATATCATTCTGCATTCTGAAACAGCAGAAAATTTAGTTAGTTAACTGAAGAATAGATAAAGTGGCTCCCCCGATTTTGTAGTTGCTACAGTTTCAGTAGGAGGAAATATAGTAATTTAAGTGGGAATTTAACACCATCTCTTAAAAATAAATCCACAAGTCTCAGTGACATAACTAAGAACAAGCACAGACTACAACAAAAACAAAGGAACTTTAACAGATAGTTCATCAGTTGCAGTTTGGGGCTGACATATGTCATATTATGCCACTGTTCACTCCAGCTTGAGCATAGACCTTTAGCCGGACCATATTATTTTTTTTTCAGTCTCTTGCAGTTCACTCATGTCCTCTACGTTTTATTTGTCCCCAATTCTCTTCGTGTGTTGGGTTTCAGTTTATTTCTTTGCCCTGCCACTTTAAGAGCAAAGGTTTCCTCAAAATACCCTTTCACTTCCCGACATCTTTTCCTCACCTAATTCACAGGCATTTTTAAGCTCTCTTAAAACTTCTTTATTAATGATTATTCCGTACCATTCAACTCCTTCTATTCAAAGAAGGCACCGATTAATGAATATGTGTACATTATTGGTAATTGATCAGTCTGTATTGACCTGAATATCGTATATTACTCTTTGCTTACAGGCAGAAAGGGAATCGTCTGTTTACTAGGATGGGAAGAAACGCACTGCAGAGGTTTGCACAAGTCTTCTATACGCAGCAATATTTGTCGCTGAACAATAACCAGACACACTACGTAGTTTATCATTTAAAAAAGCAGTACCCTTAACAGCAGATTTTGAAACCTGGGATTTAAAATGTTCCAATAAAAGAGATTTTTGAGCATAAGAATATTTTGAGAAAATAGTATTAGACTTATGTTGTGACGAAGTGACACAGCAAATGTATTCAGTAGCATGGCACCCTTCAGTGTTTTCAGATACATTTCATGTATCCACTAATGAGGCTTGGTTTTATCCAGGTGTATTGGGAGGTTGTTAACTTTTACCAGTGCATCAAGAGGTTTAATCCAGGTGTATTGGGAGGTTGTTAACTTTTATCAGTGCATCAAGAGGTTTAATCCAGGTGCTTTTGGAGCTTGTTAACTTTTACCAGTGCATCAAGAGGTTTAATCCAGGTGCATTAGGAGGTTGTTAACTTTTACCAGTGCATCAAGAGGTTTAATTAATCCAGGTGTATTGGGAGGTTGTTAACTGTTACCAGTGTATCAGGGGGTTAATACATAACTAAAACCACCACCACGACCTCTAATAAAGAATGTAAAATATCTACAGATGCAAGAAAAGGATTAGGTAAACTGGCAGACTTATTGAACATTCTCCTGGGGAAAATTTACAGTTGTGCCAATGTTGTGGTGTAAACATGCTTTATATGTATTCAGCCTATATTATTTAAAAATTTGGAGTTAAAAATCTACCCAAAAGTATTTCAGGATCCTTGCTGGTGCTACAGAGTTTGTGCACTGTGCTGAGATTCTTTGGACTCGGGCTTGAGACAGAAGCAGAACAGAGCACTTATGGGTTACTACCCTTGTGCCATGATATTGATCCGTCGTCTAAACCTAAGCTTTTAAGTGTATCCATTCTTGTGCAATGGGAGGCCTGGTAATCTGCTATTCCCATAAGCCTAGCTATCTGTTTCTGTTGTATGTACTTTATTCATATGAAATATTCTCATTACTAGCATGTCTTGAAAGTTTGGTCTATTTATTTAGAATAACTCCTATCCACCTCATTCATAATCTTCTGGTTAGCTGGAGTACATTATATCTTTCTTTGCACTTACTATCCAATCTTTACCAGAGGAAACAAATTAATATCCACTGTGCTAAATGTTTCCTTTCAACATTTATTGCTGAATCTTCAGTTAGTGGTGTTCACAGCAAGGTGGGCTAACAATGCTTCTGTTCTAAATCATATTTAAACATTTATGTAACATACACAAAAATATTAGTGTAATGAATTTCTAATGACTGACAGCCAGATGAATATTCTGATTTAAAATGAATGACAAGAAACAATATTTTTACACTGAAAAAAATCTTCAGAGAATCGTAATTAACACCAGCTATTTGCCATTCTTTTGTTGAAAGTGAAGCAGAATTCAAAACACCATCTCTTCATTACTGTAACTAGGCAGTGCATAGATGATTGCTGAGATTCTGAAGCCTGGAGGTTACACAGGCCAACAGGAATTTTATTTTGATGACTGAAAGGGAAAGAGAATCTTAGTTGAGTCCTCTAGTCCTGAGCTTTCCTTCGATCTCTCGTCTTTTCAGCTTTTCTCATTGTCATGATAGACTTTCTCCTCTCATGACGTGCCCAAAGAATATGGAATGTTGGGATGTGTATTCATGGTAGAACGGAGATTCCGCTCAAGATTACAGATTTGCTGATTTATGTAGATGGCAAATGGACACACTTCTTTGCGGTAATGACTGTTCATATTGATACAAACAAATCTACAATCATAAATCTTGTATGCAAAATGAAATTTATGAATGGAAAGACAGTTTACTGTGACCAATTTTGGTGTTTTCATAACACAAAATTGTATTTATAATATTTCTGGCAAGATCTTGACTGTCAACTAATACCTGCCTTAAACAGCAGTTTTTGGAATATATACTCCTGTTTACCATTCACCTTTGAAAGCCTGGTAGGTTTTGTAAATTTGGATGCCAGTTTTTGGAAATAAACTCCTGTTTACCATTCACCTTTGAAAGCCTGGTAGGTTTTGTAAATTTGGATGCCAGTTTTTGGAAATAAACTCCTGTTTACCATTCACCTTTGAAAGCCTGGTAGGTTTTGTAAATTTGGATGCCAGTTTTTGGAAATAAACTCCTGTTTACCATTCACCTTTGAAAGCCTGGTAGGTTTTGTAAATTTGGATGCCAGTTTTTGGAAATAAACTCCTGTTTACCATTCACCTTTGAAAGCCTGGTAGGTTTTGTAAATTTGGATGCCAGTTTTTGGAAATAAAACTCCTGTTTACCATTCACCTTTGAAAGCCTGGTAGGTTTTGTAAATTTGGATGCCAGTTTTTGGAAATAAAACTCCTGTTTACCATTCACCTTTGAAAGCCTGGTAGGTTTTGTAAATTTGGATGCCAGTTTTTGGAAATAAACTCCTGTTTACCATTCACCTTTGAAAGCCTGGTAGGTTTTGTAAATTTGGATGCCAGTTTTTGGAAATAAACTCCTGTTTACCATTCACCTTTGAAAGCCTGGTAGGTTTTGTAAATTTGGATGCCAGTTTTTAAAAACGAGTTTCTAAAGTTCTACATTTAATATCCTGGCCTATAAGGTTCAGACTCCACTGTATTCCTTTTATTTTTATGTTAATTGCTAACCCCATTGGGAGTCTTTAAGAAAGCATTTCCCATCTTTCTAACATGCTTAAATGTGAAGTACGATAAGGTAGCTAAGCCAACTATTCTGTGTTTTATTTTACACAGCAGGTGAAATATACTGAGGATATTGTTAAAATCCATATATATTTTGAAACATTTGAAAAATTACTGAAACTTTGACAGGTTTGAAGATCAAGGAACTTCATTTCTTGGAAAACTATAATGCTTGAGTCATATTAAAGCTGGAGTTGTTCAAGAAAAAAAAGGGGGGTGGGGTTAACCAGCATGTGTGAGACAGGACATTGGAGACACCTTGAATGTGAAATTACATGAGCCAGGGGCTCTTTGCAGTGGACCATGATTGGAGCAATGTTCTGTAGAAGGACCTGCTACATGAAGATGATAAACATGTATGTATCATCCATTTTGAAATGTACATTGTATGTGAAGCATAAATTGCAGCCACACTTTCCATGTGTTTCTAATAGTTCTTCCCCCCACCCCCTCCTTTCTGATCCCAATGGATTGTAGTGTTTACTATTTTTGCTCGTCTTTATGCCTAGTTTTTGGTACTTGTCTTTATGCCTAGTTTTTGGTTTATGTGTGTTCACAGTGTATTGCAGAAATGGAAGATAGTGGTTTCATTGAGTTGCCCAGTGCACTGCACTTTTGAAGACGGTGATATATATAATCCTCTTTCTTTTTGGCTGTAAACATACTGTTTCCTCTTTTGTGCAAGCTTTTCAGCAGTTTCACTTGCTTGTGTGACCAGGGATTCACATGTCAAACGATACATGCATATAATTTTTTTTTTGGGGGGGGGGGGGGGGGAATCAAGGTTCCACCGACTTCCCCTTTTCCCCCCTTAGTGGAAATTAAAAAGAAAAAAACAGAAGTATTTTAAAGATTCTAACACTTATATCTGATTGATTTCAGCAGGATTAACTTCTAGACAGCAATAGTTAAAACAACCATTTAAAGAAAAATCTTTTTTTCAATTTGAACTTAACAACCAGCATTTTGACACACTGTGTGTTTGAATCATACTATCTTGCCTACAACACTGCTACAGAATTTTACAGTCTTTTATAATGACAGTTTTGTATCTGAAATTCCATATGTAGTTATGTTTATTGATTAAAGTCATTTTTGGTTGCCACACTCTGTTGGTGTTTCCCTTCCATTTGAAGCTATAGTATTAGGTTTGGGTTTAAAATATGAAGACAGATGACTAGTATTCAATTTGGAATTCAGATTTGAAGAGAAATAACTGCAGGTAATAATGAAGTAAGCAAAATGTTACTAGCGGCATGTTTTTTTTTTTTTTTAAATGCTGTTAGTTAGTTAGTTAGTTAGTTAGTTAGTTAGTTGGGTTATCATCATTGCACTCCGGACATGTCCATAGGTGCTCAGATCCTCCCCTCAGTATGAATCCCAACGTCCGATGGCAAATAGTACCAGTTCTATGTTGATTAACAAGTCTTCTGACGTGTCCGGTGTGCGTCTCGTTTTTTGCTGTGCCGATCTTAATTCCCAAGTCTGCCATCCTGGCGAGTGATGTGGATTCACTGCCACCAAAGTCCTCTATCCTTCCCATTTCTCTGAGGGCATTGATAATATCAGCATGATCCATAGGCCGACCGTCGG